TAATTTGATGTGAAGAATGAAGCTTGAGGTAAAGAGTGAAGTTTGAGGTGAAGAGTGGAGCTTGGGGTGAAGAGTGAAAAAGGAAGCTTGGGATGAAAAGTAAACCTTGAAATGAAGAGTAAAGCTTGGGCTGAAAAGTGAAGCTTGAGGTGAAGAGTAAAGCTTGGGCTGAAAAGTGAAGCTTGAGATGAAGAGTAAAGCTTGGGCTGAAAAGCGAAGCTTGAGGTCTTTCTGCCACTGCCCAGGTCATCCTTGAAGCTTGAGATGAAGAGTAAAGCTTGGACTGAAAAGTGAAGCTTGAGATGAAGAGTAAAGCTTGGACTGAAAAGTGAAGCTTGAGATGAAGAGTAAAGCTTGGGCTGAAAAGTGAAGCTTGAGATGAAGAGTAAAGCTTGGACTGAAAAGTGAAGCTTGAGATGAGTAAAGCTTGGGCTGAAAAGTGAAGCTTGAGATGAAGAGTAAAACTTGGGCTGAAAAGTGAAGCTTGAGATGAAGAGTAAAGCTTGGGATGAAAAGTGAAGCTTGAGATGAAGAGTAAAGCTTGGGCTGAAAAGTGAAGCTTGAGATGAAGAGTAAAGCTTGGGCTGAAAAGTGAAGCTTGAGATGAAGAGTAAAGCTTGGGATAAAAAGTGAAGCTTGAGATGAAGAGTAAAGCTTGGGTTGAAAAGTGAAGCTTGAAATGAAGAGTAAAGCTTGGGCTGAAAAGTGAAGCTTGAGATGAAGAGTAAAGCTTGGGTTGAAAAGTGAAGCTTGAAGTCTTCCTGCCACTGCTCAGGACATCCTTTTCGACCATTTTCGGTTTCAGTCTCGTATACATCCTCTATTGTTCTTTCTTAGAAATGTCTTTTATTGGCACATATCTCCCCGATGAGAAAAAAATACAAAAGAAAGTGGAATGAACGTATACTTGTTCTTTTCAGTGTAACGAAACTAGTCCCATTTCCATCGGTTTGAAGCGAAGGCCTGAAGAAGGTCCGGAAGAATTCAGTTCATATTTTGGAAGGGAGGTAATCTTTACAGACCAAAGGCATTTTTAAATAAATCACAGAGGGCCATTAATTACCTGTTACGACTCGCTCATATCTGTTTGAGTACATGCATGTAAGACACACACACGCACACACACACACACACACACACACACACACACACACACACACACACACACACACACACACACACACACACACACACACACACACACACGCACACACACACACACACACACACCAAACACACACACACAAACCCGCACAAACATTCGTTGTGTCTGTGCATGCCGTCTTTATCTATAAACAGTATGTCAAACTATGCATTCCCTCCCCCCATGGCGCTTACCCCCCTTCCTTCCCGCAGCTTCCCGCGCCTACTGGGTGGACCTTCGCAAAACTGACGGCGACTACGTGTGGGGCGACGGCACCCGCTTCCAGGACACGGAGATCAGCGCCTTATTGCGGATCACCCGTGGCACGCTGACTGAGGCCGTTCACTCGTGGTATTTCTCGTCCCTTCTGGAAAAACCGCGGGGAACGTTCATGGAGAGGACGGTGTGTCAGGCGAATCCCTTTGGAGTAGAGTGGTAAGGGGTGAGTAAGGGCGAGGGGAGGAAGTGGGTACGTGGAGAAAGGGCCGGTAGGGGGAGGATAGGGGGTGAGGGGAGGGAGACGTGAGGGGAGGAAGGAGGAAGGGTGGAGGGGAGGAGGGAAGGAAGGGGATGAGGTGAAGGGAGGAAGGGGATAGGAAAGGGAGGTAGAGGTCCGGTGAACATGTGGAACATGTCTTACCTTTTTTTCTGTCTTGTCCTCCTCTTTTGCTCTCTGTCTTTCTTTTCTGTTTCCCCTTCATTCTCTGTTTCTGAATCTGTGTTATTTGAGTGTATATTTACTTGCAAGTATATCAGTGTATGTTCACCAGTCAAGAAAGCAACCTACATAATCATCCCCAACTATAACAGTCTCACTCTCTTCGTGCGCACATTCCGGCTTACATTGTATTCTTATATTTTTTAAAGATTTTTGAGCTTTAATGTATTTAGGCAAATGTTTTAGCATATTATTAATATTAGACAATTATCATTGTAATTTTGGATATTACAGTTTTTCTTTAGAATTTTTAGCCAGATAAGTGGTTAAACGAAATAAAATGCAGTGATCATAATCAACTTCGATCTATAGAAAAGGTTTTGAAGAAAGCAAAACGTTCGACCATGTCCACACAAATGCAAATAAACAATGCATGCAAATAGGTTTACTGAAAATAATCAGTCAGCAGATTTAGATTCTACCTGGGTTTCATCTCCAGGTATGGGGAGGGAGGGAAGAGAAAGGGAAAAGAAGGGGGGGGGGGAGAAAAGACAAGATTTCTATGTCCGGGACATAGAAACGGAGGGAGAACAGGGCAGGCCGCTTTGCTGAGCGGTATGCGGACCTACCGCTCAGTCGTCGCTGTAGGTAGTCCATGGAAAAAAAAACGCCGTTCAGGTTGAAATTTGGTAACTTCT